TAGCCTCTCAATAAACCTGTAACTGGTTCTCTGACCTTCATGCCCTTACTCCTCTTGGTATTTCAATTCCTAAGCAGTTTCATGTCTGATGCACAAGGTCATCTGCCTATCGCTCACTAACTTGGATCATGTTCCCTCTCGATGGCTATGGTCTGAGGACTCAATTCTGCAAGGTGTTGAGCACCATCAACTCTAGTGCACTAAGCTCCACATAAGAGTTTCTCAGCACCTTGCAGGATCAGACCATAAGTGATGCTTTCAGCCCCAGGGGGTAATTTTTAGAGATGGATCCCAAACCCTGGAACCAAACATCCTTATATTTGGGGTAAATATTTATCAGTATTTGAACATTGCAGCAGGCTCCATCTCTATACTGGGCTGAAGCAAAACCTTGGATCTGAACTCACCTGGACTTTGGGGAGGTTCAGATCTGGATTTGAACAAAGTTACCTTAACCCATTTCTAGACAGTTCAGGCTCTCAAGAGGATCTTCTAGAAATAATAGCACAAGAGTGCCTCTAATTGGTCAATGTAAAAACTGTACTCAGATTAAGCTATTACAGTTTGCTCTGCCACCTTGGCGTGTGGTCTCACAAGCTAAGCAGGGTATCATATCATTACACAACAGAAAAAATAAGTGACCAAAATACAGCATGCAAAAAAATAGGAAAATGGAAACATCAGATTGCCATGAGAATAATCAAGCCAGCCATGAATGGTAGTATGTGACTTGGGGTGGGGGTGGGGAAATCAAATCAGCTCATTTAAACCTTTTATATAGAAAGTGTAAATATCTTGCATCCTCAAAACAATCTGCCTAGGGTTTCCTTGCATGCATGAGGGAACAGATACTGAAATAATACCTGGAATTGTTTCAATATCACTTTAACTGATCTTCCCAGAACCAACAAAGGAGCCAAAGGATAGCCACCTGCTTCTGCTCTTCCCCCTCCTCCATACTGAGCTGCAATCCCCCTACCATTTGGAAATTTATTGAGCATCTCAAGAGACAGAACATCTTAATGAGCTTAAAAAAAATATCACACACACACACACTTCATTACAGGAGAAGAAGGGAGAGAGTCACTACCTTTGTGACTTGCTTGATGACTATTATGAGGTTGTACCCAACTAGTGGTGAGTCAACTCATACAGAGTGCCCCTCTCATGGCTGGGCATGACATAGCAATTCTCCCCTCTCTAGCAGCCCCTACAGATAGTTGCTGTAGCCCTGTGGTGGGCTGTCTCTTTTCATGACTCAGCCCTCCAGCCAGATTGCATTTTAGTCCAACCCTTATAGTTTAACAGAAAGTCCAACAGAAATAAATGTCTAATCCCTCCATCCAGTCTGCCACCATCAATCCTGAGTCCAGTGGTCCATACGCCCCTTTTCTCAGGGCCCTCAAAAGTCCTCATCCCCTTACATCAGGGACTTCACACCACCTTCCCCTGTGGCTGGTAGGAGAACCCAGGCCTGCCTTCTTCACTGGGTTCCAGTCCAGAGACCCTAAGACTAGCAGTCAAGGCTCACTCCACCAAACTGCTTACTGCCATCTCTTTTCCCTGCTAAGCCTTTCCCTAGGCTCTCTCGACCCTGCAAGAGTCATCTTGTTCCTTCTATGCCCCTTCCTACCCTACCACCAGGAGAGTGACTATAGAGTTACTTCCCTCCCCTACTGCAGTGCCCTTCTCTTTTAAACTTCCTTTGTTTGCATCACCCAGCCCCTCCCCAGGTGGGTTTCATCATTAATTAGGCCTGACCCACCCTCCAGGTGCAACCAGGTGGACTAATTGGCCTCTACAGCCCACATTAACCCTTTCATTACCTGTGTGGGGTAGGCACCCCATCACTCCAACCTCCATCTTCTCGCATGTTCACTTTTCTTTAAACTATGTCTGCACGTGTCCTGTTACAGCATTTAATGTGGAATTAATAAACCTTATTGTATCTTCTACAGCTAGACTGGGCCCTGCACTGGGTACCCATTATGGGGCATAAGGTGAAATATGGACATCCTTCACACCCCTGCGTGGGCTATGCAGACTTTGGGTTCAGATGTATAGGAGTAAGCAGGCTACGCATCCGCTACTCCCCTCCCTTCAGAACAGGTGTGTGGGACGTGGGTAGAGCCTTGCTCCTCTTCCTCCTGCCCTAAACACACCAGCCCACACCTGAGCCAGCGAGATGGGTGTCCTAATTTGCTGCTACCCTATCCCAGCAGTAAATTGCTGCCCCCTAGAAGAAGGAGGAAGCAGGAAGAGAATGGTGCTTGTCAAAGGCCCCTTTCTTTTCTTGTAGTGCTCCCGGGGCAAGACTGTTGTGTGTCACTCCATACAAAATGCTTATACCATGTATGTTTCTGTTTTGCAGTGATTTCATTGGTGCTGTTTTTGCATATTGTGTTTTCTCTTGCATTGTCCATATCCCTTGTTATGTTTTGACTGTGATGTTCTTTCCCCATGATGTTTGTCCCCTGCGTGAACCTGCCTACTCACTACTTAGAAAAGAAGCCTCTCTAGGGAAAACCCAGAGGAAAGTGATCCTCTGAGGCCTAGTCTACACTGAAAAGGCTTGCTAGTAAAGCTGCAGCAGAAAACCTTCCCAGTGCAGATGCAGCTTTATGGGCAAAAGAGGGCTTTTGTCAGCATTGCTTACAGAGATTCCCTAAATGAAATAAATCATGCTGGCAAAATTCTTTTTTTTTTTTTAAACCAGTATAACTTGTGTCTGCAATAGGCATTTGCTAGTGTAGAAATGTTGTTAAAACAAACAACATCCCTAAAGGATATTAGTAAACAGACAAAAGTTTCTAGTGTAGACCTGGCCTTAGTGGCACTTTCCCCTCTTATATGGCTTACCCTTGTGTTAAGAGGCACTTTGCTACTGTTTGTGCCATCTTTCAGATGAGAAGCAAAACCAAGGTACCAGGACTATTACCTTTTTGTTTGTCCCAGTAAGATAAATTAGCTGTCTTAGACTCAGACTTTAAGGCCAGAAGGGACCATCGGGATCATCTAGTCTGACCTCCTGCATATTGAGGTTCTGTGGCCTGCACCTAACTCTTAACCTCTGGCTGAGTTACTGAAGTCCTCAAATCATGATTTAAAACTTGAAGTTACAGAGAATCCACCATCTACTCTACTTTAAACCAGCAAGTGTCATGGTTTCATGATGATTAAGTTGTGAGCGTACTGCAGCAGAACAATGCCATAAGTTGTGTCAACATATGAGAATGACCCAATGCTAAATTTCTCCTACAGTTTCAATTGGATGTGGGTTTCTTCATTTTCCATCAGACACTTTCATATAGTGCTGCTCATTCCATCCAAAAGGTGCCTGCATTTCAGTAATGAATGCAAGTGATTCCTCATTATAGAGAGAGGGTAGGGAGTTGGATGATTGCTCTATATTATATCTTAAATTATATACCAGTATGCTATAAATATATATAGATGTACACATACACACACACCACAATGGAACATAAGCCTTACCATATGGGATCAGGTCACTGGTCCCTCCAACCTACTAGTGGCCAATGTATTTTTTTCCTTCAAAGGAAGATGGGGAAAACCATCACAATACACTTGGCCAATTGTGCAGTGCTCTAAATTCGTACCTGACCTTTGTAAGTGAGTCTGAAGCATAGCATTGATCCCCCTTATTCTTCTTGCATAGCTGCAAGTGTTGTTAAAAGGCAATAAAATTATCCAGCCCCTTTTGTTTTAAAGATTAGCTGAAGTGTCAGTTTAATATCAAATGTCTTTTACCAGGAGAAGAGTTTGCTAATCTGATAATTTTGCTCCATCTCTATCTACTGCTGTCCTTCTGTGGTTGCAGCAGCGTCTGGTTCGTTACACACAGCTGTATTAAACCAATATTACTAAAGTTACAAAGTCAAGCACTCAAAAGTTAAGAAATGCCAGAATTAAGGTTGCCCGTGCAATGTGAATTCAACTCCCTTGGGCACGTGCATTATGACACAGTCTTTAATTACACAGGCAACCTTAATTCTGGTATTTCCTAACTTTTGAGTGCAACCTTAATAATGTTCCTTTATTGTAGGTTGTGGGTGAGATTTCCTATATTTAAAAAAAAAACTGAATAAACAAATTCCATCACGTGACATCACTGACACCCACACAGTTAATCAGCAGGGCTGGAACCTTTAGTTCCACTGCACAGAACTTTGCCATGTGAGCTAATGGAGTCAATGCTAGCAATAGGGGATTCTCATCCACTCCGTGGGCCAGCACTACACAGGGATGAAACACACGCTTTGCCAGTGAGTTTCAGAGATATTTGCTGACAGCAGAGGAATGTTGGGTTTCCTCCCTGGCTCTGGAAGGGAATGTGCTCTAGTGGGCATAGACCCCAGTGCCTGCCCATTCCCACCCAAGCTTGACCCTTTCTGCTCCATCCCCTCCATCTTGTCCCTATCACAGTCCTGTCTCTTCCCAACCTCTGGCTCCTTGTCTCAGTCCCACTCTCCACTCCTCAGGCTTCTCATCCCAGTCTCCGTGCCCAGCCAGTCCTAGTCTCTCTCTCCAGTTTTATGTCTAAATCCCAATCCTCCCTCTCCCCCCTACACCCAGTTCCAGTCTTCCTGCCCTGTCAGTCCAAGTTCTCCTTTCCTGGCTCCTCATCTGATATGTCTCTCCCCTCCTCCAGTCTTGGTCTCATCCAGTCTCAGTCAGTGTTTTAACATGGGCAAAACACCCACCTTTTCTCTTAGCCTCATTTTGAAAATGGCTGAACCATTTTGTCTGAAATTTTCCAAAAATTTCAGCCTGAGAGATACCCAGCATGTCAGATTTCATCCTGAAGGGTTAAAATTTGGTAACGTTATAAGCAACTGAAAACAGGATGTTGTCATGGGAAGTGTGGGCAGCCTGAATAATAGGTGGCACTCCCAGCCCCACGTTTAACAACACTAAGGGGCCTTCTTCTCTTATTATTGCTGCTACGCCTTCTTCTCTTATTATTGTTCATCTTCCAGGAGAACCCGTATCTGTGCAGCGATGAGTGTGACGCGTCCACCCCTGACCTGGCCCACCCGCCAAAGCTGATGTTCGACAAAGAGGATGAAGGGCTGGCCACCTACTGGCAGAGTGTGACCTGGAGCCGCTACCCAGAACCCCTGCTGGCTAACATCACACTTTCCTGGAACAAGAGCATTGAGCTGACAGATGACATTGTGGTGACCTTCGAGTACGGACGCCCCACCATCATGATGCTGGAGAAGTCCCTGGACAATGGGAGGACTTGGCACCCATACCAGTACTACGCGGATGACTGCATGGAAGCCTTTGGCATGCCAGCCCGGCGGGTCAGAGACCTCTCTACCACCAGTGCCAACAGGATCATCTGCACGGAGGAATACTCCCGCTGGGCGGGCTCCAAGAAGGAGAAGAACGTGCGTTTGGAGGTGAGGGATCGCTTTGCCATCTTTGCTGGCCAGGACCTCAGGAACATGGACAACCTGTACACCAGGCTGGAGAGCGCCAAGGGTTTGAAGGACTTCTTCACCGTGACTGACCTGCGGATGAGGTTGCTGAGACCGGCACTTGGGGGCACCTACGTGCAGAGGGAGAACTTGTATAAATACTTCTATGCTGTCTCCAACATTGAAGTCACCGGCAGGTAACAGTTACTATATCTATTTTTGTCTCTCTTCTTGGAGGGATGGGGAAGGGGACCTTGTGTTAATATTAGAAAGAACCAAACTATATGTATTTGTCGACCCATTGGATCATCAACTTAGTATTTCTCCCCTTCCTCTTCACTCTCCCAATTCAAGACAATATCAAATTCGAGCAGATAGGTGGCATGTCCTGTAACGGGATTAAACATGAGCCTCCTGAAGGGAGTGTGAGTCTGCCATGAAGATTTGCTGAGTCCCCGCACTCAAACACAATAGCCAATCTAGCAGCAAGAGCAGGGGATTTAAGAGTTGGGAAGTGAGTGTTCTGAGTTCTATTCCCAGCTCTGCCACAGACTTGCTCTTTGTCCTGGGCCAAGTCACTCAGCTCCCCTGTTTCTCCACTGCCCCCCACCAATAAAATGGGGGTATTAATATTTATATTATTAGAAGAACAGGAGTACTTGTGGCACCTTAGAGACTAACAAATTTATTAGTCTCTAAGGTGCCACAAGTACTCCTGTTCTTCTTTTTGCGGATACAGACTAACACGGCTGCTACTCCGAAACCTATATTATTAGAGTGTTTTGAGGTTTAATTAACGTTATAAAGCACTTTGAAATGAAAATCAGCGTAGAAGTGCAGGAGGCTCTCTGGGCATGTAGACATAGGCTTTCCTTCAACCCAACCAGAGGGATGGCATAAAACATGCCAAAAAGTTGATCATCTTCACCCTGGAACAAGGGATGCCTCTGAATATTGGGTAAGTTTGAGTTAGGTCAACAGCTTCCTCCAACCCCTTCACTGATCTCCCTTCTTGCTAGCACTGCTGCACTTTTGCCCATCAAACTATCTGACCCCAAACCCATTTAGCAGTGCAGTCTATCAGGTAGCACAGTAGGTTGTTGGGAAAGGCCAAACACCCACTCAGATGTGACCAGAGATTTAACTGTGTTAATTCAAGGGATCACAAATAATAGATTCATCTCCCGGGCTAGAGGCCTGGAATAGCATCCACTGAGAATCTACGTTGCCCTGCAGCTCTATGCACACAAGTCTTCCTGTAACACCTCAGTCCTGACCTTCATTACCCGCTGCTATTATAGTCCCGAGCGCCGACACAGCTCTACCAATTCACCTCAGTCCTGACACCTACTTCGCTGCTATTCCAGCCTTTGGCCTCTCCTGAGGGAGGCATGTACAGACACATAGGATGACAGGCTCTGCTCCGAAAACCTTACTAAGGTTGTCTAATATGAGTGAGTGACATATGAAGGCTGGTGGAGAGGGATACTAGGCTCCAATCATTGAACTGCGTTTAATTTATGATGCAAGTCAAGATTTGAACCTGGCTCTTCAGAGATGATGGTCTACCCCACTGAGCCGCACTCCCAAGGCTGTCAGTGGTTCAGTCACATGGGGCCTTTGTGAAGTTTAATCCCATGGGCAATTTTTTTTGTTTCCTGGGTTTCAGTGCTTATTTCTCTGTGCAATGCCATATGTTACATTATGACATCAACCGAAAAAGCAAAGTAAGGTGGAAAAGTGCCGAGCTGGCTAATTTCCCATCCAGCTTGTGTGAGACTTGCAAGCAGGAGGGAAAAAATCCCACCCAACTAGCAAGGCTCTCAACAATCACCAGAGTGACAGGAGAGCATCTTCTATCATTTCCAAACTGCTTGCTGCTAAGATTTGCAAGTAGAAATGGTTGGGAGGTGCCACCGTGGTTGGGTTTTCTGAATTCATGCCAAGGAAAAGGAAACCATGCAAAGAAATGAAAGGGTTCCTCTCTTCGGGAGCGGGGGACAGGGTGATGCAGGGAGCACAGTGTGTGTACTGTATTAGGGGAGAAGTTTGGCTACCAGATTCATAGCTGCCCTGATTCAGCAATGGGCTGCCAATTTATTAGCAGGGGCTCCCACAAAAGTTTTCCCCTTTAGCTGCCAATGCAGCCAGGTAACCACAGATGTTTCTGCTCACAGGGAAAAACTGTGAGGGGCTGGGGAAACTACGTGTTTGTTTTCCCCTTTCAACAAAGTTACATTCTCAGAACTATAACCCAGGACACAGGCAGCATCACTTGGGACAGACTTCGAGGGTGTCCTTGCTGGGCACAATCTGTTCTGTTCCAAAGGCAAAATAAATAAGTAAAAATCTGCCCTTCAGAAGTATTATTCTGAGCTTGTGGCAGGGATGACTGAGCAGTGTCCAGTGAGTGGGTGACTCCATCAGAGACAGGAAGTCACTCCAACCCTCCCTTCTGTTTGGTGGTGGAATTTTAACCGGGGGGCCCCATCTGAGTGGCACATCCCTTCCCTGCTCTCTGCATTAGCAGATTTCCCTGTGGGAGAGCATGCCCTGCTCTCCTCCATGTCAGGCTTGTGGTGTAGAACGTTGGCTGTTTGGAACATGGAGGGAAAAGAACAGAGCAAGAGAGAGAGGAAACAAAGGGATAGGGCAAGAGGGCGAAAAATGGGAAGTCGAGCGACGAGAGGAGATGAGGAAGGTGCCTAGACCCTCTTCTCTTTTCCTTGCCCTTATTTTCCTCACCGAAAGCAGTGAGCGCCTTCACTCCCTGCTCCCTCTCCTGCCAGTATCTCCCTTTCCTCCTTCAGCCCACGTGGGGGTCCACTTCTCACAGGGTGCGCTCGCGGAAAGCTTGGTGTGGAAGCAGCGGGTGTGGGTGGTGGTGGTTACTGACAGCAGTGGCAAAGCCATGGTAATCAAGTCACAGCTCCAGTAAGCACATTCTGAACGACTATGTTGGCAAGACAGCTGTAGGTGGTGTATCAATTCATTAAGTTTGGTTGGACTGTGGGGCCATGACATGGTTGGAAGGAGTCTCATCTCTGAAAGGGGTAAATTAGGATCAAATACTTGGTGTCTTTGCATAATGACCTTTGGGTTTCAAAAATGTATAAAATTTGTACCTGTTGTGCAGGCAACCCAAGACTGAGTATTATCTATACAGTACCGTCAGTGTACGTGGTCCAACCAAAACGATCCTGCCCCATGGAGCTTACAGTCCAGTTGAGATTTGCCGACTGTCCAATTATTCATTGTAAGAAATGCTATAACCAAACACAGTGTATTTTACAAACATTAACTATCTAAGCCTCATAAACACCTCTATGAGGCAGGCAAGGATTAGTAGCCCCATTTTACAGAGGTGGAGACCCAGCTAGAGAGGTCGTGTGACCTGCCCAGGGTCACAGAGGAAGTTGGTGTCACAGCTGAGATTAGGACTCAGGAGTCCCTTGCTCCCACTTCCATACTCCAGCCACTTCTTTTCCCCTTTGAAGAGCCACGCAGCCTGGATAGAGCCCCTCTGGATGACTCATAAGGCTGAGGTGTAATTGTGACTGCATGGGGCACTTCAGGGACAAAGGGCGGCTTTCACAAATGGCCTGAGAGGTTCCAGTATTTTACTCATGTGAGCAGGACTGAGTGCAAATGCTTTGAGAGCGATGTGTTTTTGTGAACCCTGAGCCCTCCTGCAATCATTGAGCAGTGTAGTGTTGTAGATTTACCCTGAGCCCTACTCAGAGCATAGCAGAAGGGCTGGACCCCCCCCTCCACCCCCCTATACTTTCTGTGCTGCGCAGGGTTCTCCACTAGGATATTTTTCATTCTCTCTGTTATTAAGAGGAAAGTAAATGAGACCTTCTTAGCACAGAAGGTTTAAAACAAAATCCCAGCCCTTGTGTTTGTGTGGAGTTCCACTTACTCAATATTTGCCATTCAAGCTTCGGCTTTTGAGCGAGGCGCCTCAGAAGCTAAAGCCAGCTCTGACCCCAAACTTAATGAGATTAACTTTTGATTTATTTATTTGTTCTTTCCTCAAACAAGTAGAAGCCGCAGTGGGTTGTGTAATGCGTCTCTAGGGCTCACAGGGAAGGGGAGGATGAAGAGAAGGGAGGGTTAGACTACAAATGACCAGTGGAAATTGCAGCACTATTTTAAGTAGGGGGACAATTACTGATGGTTTTGTTTTTGCTTTTTAAATGTCTGAAGAGCTCCCTCCTGCCAGAGCTGGCAGGCTGCCTATGCCTGCTGCAGAACAGTGGCATCTCTGCTCCCCTGGTCCCTCCACTCACCTCCAGTTAACATTTCAGCTGTGCAGGGTGACTTCACAAGCACTCTGGTTTGGGTGCTTTCTGAGTTTTCTGTGGGTGTGGAGAGAGAATGGGCTGAAATCGGAACTGTTTATGCAGCCTCTTCTCCATTCCCAAACTTGAGGCCCGCTGATAAAACGAGACCCAGCTTTGAGCTACCTTTGCTCTCCCCTCGTCTCAAGCTAGCAATTGTTCTGCCCTTTCCCCAAGAGGACAGGCCCTTCGTTTGAGGGCAGAGAGGCAGAGGTGTCCCTCAGTCTGGCTTGTCCACAGCTGCCAGCTCTGCAACTGAAATGCCAAGAGGGTGGTGGGAGGAATTCTTGCCTGTTGGAGAGGAGCCATGGCTGGGTGGTGGGTGGGAGGGAGTCTTCATCTAAATTGACTCCCTCCCCGCCAGTCCTGTGATTACTTCAGTTCCAGCCAGCAGTTTTTCACTGGCAACTAATCTAATACTGACTGTAAGTGAAGCTAATTAGGACGCAGGTGTTTAAAACCAAATCAAATCCTGTGTACAGCTCAGCAAGGAAGGGTCACCAGATGCAAGTAAGGGGGAAATCGATGTGAGCCTGATCTAAACACTGCACTGGAAAGAGAGATGTAGCTAAGAATACCCAGGACTGCTTCAGTGGGCTGTGAGGAGGAGGGGAGGGTATTGAGTGATTCCAGGGCAAGGGAATGAATACTTGTGTGCAGAAAGGGGCAAGTGCATAGATAAGATGGTGTATCATGTTGGGGATCAGGGAGGGAGATTACAAAGGGAGAGGGAGACTATAATTACAAAGAAATAAACATTTTAAAAACCAGAAGGAAAAAAAACAACTTACCTGCAAGGTGTCAGATCCAGTGACCTGTAGATCTGGGCAGCCAGTTGGATGAAGGTGGACCAT